TGCTGCTGCTCCTCCACATGCCGTTAGTTCACTTCGACTGCAGTTATTTTACTACCTTCTGCCGCTCTTGCCGCTGCTATTGCGGTCCTCGCGGCGGTATGACAGCTGCGTTTGATATGCAAGTGAACAACAAATCACGTCTTTGCACCCGTGGTGCCCCGAAGAGCGCGTGTGGCGCCAGGGCACCGCAATATATCAAAATAGAAAAGTTATATTTCATGTACACTGTTTGTATATCTTTCATATGATTATTTGCTGTGAAAGCGAATGTCGCAGCGAGGAGTGTGGCCGATACTGCCGTCCTGCAACACCAGCAAAACAGCATGCTTACACGCTATATTTCATGTGCATATACATATATATATATATATATAATATATCTACTGGCGCTATATATACTCCATATATATATATATATATATATATATATAATGTGAGTGCACGCTCGCTGTCAGGCAGCCAGGGCGCGTTCGACGAGACACTCCAGACTACTACACAGCATTATATACGAAGATCCGGTTCCCACCTAGACGAGCTCTGTGTTGCACATTTATTTGGCGGATACAGATATATATATATATATATATATAGTGCACATACTCGTATATATGCGTACCCGTGTGCGTCGACGGCTGCGGCATGAACAGATATTATACACCGGAGAGGATGTTCGCAGATCGGTTCTCACGGCATGTACGAGTTTAGACAAACCGTTAACACATCTTTCGTTACGCCCGCGTAGACTCGCGGCATGTTGTCGTACTACTCAGGAGCTGTCTACAGACGTGTATGTACACACACATATACCAAGATACGCATTCCTAGAGTATCACGCGCATTAACGCAATAACATTGTGAGTGCAATAGTGCAGTACGACGGGAACAAGACGTAGCATGCTCGCGTACGTATGTGAGCCATCTAAATTTTACAGATACGTTTGAAGGGGAATCTAGCTGCGCACGATACAGACGCGTACGATGCGCACGGCCTGCCAGCTCGCTACTGCTTGTCTCGGTACTTCTTGCTTGAAACATTACCATACAGACAGAAAAGGCACAGTGCCTAGCACGTACACAGACGAGCCATCCGTCCACCTTGTGTGAAACACACAGAAGGAATCGCTTCCCGTAAAATCGGCCGGTAGGTGTCGTGCGGCCCTCAATACGAAAGCTCTGGAGCCGGCCGTCATTCCACTCACGTACACGAGAACACATACCCGTAATACATATATTATATATATATGTATATATGTATACATACACGTGTAAATATATAGCACAAACACAGAGAAAGCATCGGCTAGTGAGGACGCTACATAATACATCGGCTCCTGTATGTATGTACGTCAATCTACTGGGGCGGCTGCCTCTCAGGCTCTAAAGGAAGACTGCCTATACGGTGCTCTTCCTGTTTGTAACCAGGTACATATTGTTTAGCTATGTAGAGCGAGACTACTAAGAAAGTGCTGGCAGCACACGTAAGACTACGTATATATTCGTGTAGATCCCCAGTAGCTGCAGCACAGACAGCTGCACACTTACAATTTTCGTGGCCATACAGCGAGAGACCTCCCTCATCAGCGACTCCTGCACCTCTGCAGCAACAGAAGAAACGACAACAGCGGCAAGACAAGGAGATTGCAGTTGCACATATAAAAGTACACATACAGCACGTATACACACGGGTACGTCCACACTACCATATTCGTATTCAGCTCATATGTAGCAATAAACAGATTATGCGCACCTGACAGCTACGCATATACAAGTATGTACAGCTACGAGTACTTTAACACTACCACATTCGTATCCAGCTCACATGTAGCATGAAACGCTGCGCTCTAGTGCGTGTATTATGTTTACGTAAATAACTCAGTCTACACCAGCGTCGACTATATATATGTATGAACAGATATATATATAGAGAGAGACATATATACGAAACGCTGTACTATACTGCGTGTATTAGTGTTTTTGTATATCAGCGATTCTACACCGGCGTCGACTATATATATATATATATATATATATATATATATATACGGATACTGCGTGCATATTTATGTATTCAGTCTAGACCTCTGTCGAGTATTGCGTAACGTACCTTGATTGGGTAGCTTGGTGAACCAGACCTCCAAACGAATACACGGACTGCGTCCTTGGCTTAGTTTGTCAACCTGAAAGTATTCATACGACAGGGCACGCACACGCATTATACACCTACACAGGCAAGAAGGTAGAGGTAGAAGAGAAAGAACAGACGAAGAAGAAAAGAAGGAAGAAATAGAAGCGAGAGAGGAAACGAAGGGGAAAAGAAGGAAGATATAAAAGAGAGAGAAGAAGCGATTGAAAAAGACCGGTGCATCTAATGCAGCTGCAGATGCAAGCGGAAACGATTGCTGCACAGACCGCAGATTCACAGGACACTCCAGTCTTCCCCGTATTATGAAAATATACACCTCCAAAGATAAGAACGAAGAATTAGAAGAGAAAGAAGAAACCAAGGACGAAGACTG